TAAATTAGAATAAGTCGGAATTACAGAATACAACACGTTGAAATATCTCTTTATAAAAAAGGAAAACGACTGTTAACGTAGATTAATATTTCTAGTCTCGGAAGTAATAGGATCATATTAAGGTAAAATTATGTAAGTACATTCAAAGAAGTTGAAACTTTTAAAGCTATAAATCTTTGAATTCAATCCCATTGATAAAATGAAAATCTTTATCAAGAAACGAATGTTCAAATATTGTTCGGACTATCAGTGCTGTAAAAGGATTTATTTTATTTTTTATATTTATGGTAATTTTGCCTCCTTTGGTAATCTTTGCGTTTTTGAATGTTGCAACTTCGGCAATATTTCGAAAAGGTATGTGTATGATAAAATCTATAATACAGGGTTAATTTTAAAACACCAACAACCTTTTAGGGGGTGATTCTACCCCCAACAGCAGAATTTTTTTTCGCGATTTCAGCATTGCTCCCATAATAAAAGTTGTTCCTGATGATGGGTAGAATCACCCCCTAAGAGGTTGTGGGTGTTTTAAAATTAACCCTGTATATAATGAGTATCCCTGAATCAGGATTAATGAATCATAATTATAATTTATGTATTGCATCCGTTGTTGATCCGTAATACAATTTCTGTTTGTATGTCGGCACTTTACTTTGCAATTCGTGTTTGCTATTTGTAAACTTGGCATCAGTCTGTCCTTATCACGCTCTATACCGAATGAAAAGGACAGACTGATGTCATGTTTACAAATAGCAAACACGAATAGCCAAGTGAAGCGCATTAAATTAATTAAAGTATGGTACTACTAATTAATTCTATTACATTATTGTAACAATAAACTGTAAACACTTTTTCTTTTGTCATAAGTGTTAAAACGAGCTATGAAACCTAACTTCAGAGTTGTAACCAAAACAAAATGTAAAGTTTATAGTATAGAATATTGTTTATGTGCAACACAAACCATTGTGTACTACTTATTACGTGTAGTGTTTATTAATCGTGCTGTTATTGTGGTAACCAGCCTCCTATTAAGTTTCATTGTTAAACTTTAAACTTAAGACTTAGCGCGATCAAGAAAAACCAGTGTTATAATAATTGTAACAGATGAAATGTTCCTTATTTAAATGACCGAACCAAATTCTATAGAAAAAAAAAACATTTATTGGTTTAATATACTTCCTTATTGGTTATTTCGTGAATATTATTAAATTAATGGTCATCTATTTAAGTATATTATTTGAATATATTTTATTAAGTAGTGTAAAAATTTTGTAAAAAGATTTGGCAACGGCGCTATTTAAACTAGTCTAAAGGGAAATCTCGTCATTTTTAAAAATTGTATTAATGTTGTTCATAATGATGACTGTTTTTTATAAACGAAAGTGTAAAGAATCCGAAATATTAGAAACTTAAGGCGATTCGCATAATGTTTGTATTGAAATATAATTAAGTCGATTTAAAATACCAGACGTTTTGACCTACTAACTTTCAAATACTCAATGGTTTTGAACGTAATACCCAATCAATACTTACATTCTACTTACAGTGTGACCAAAATTTAGTGGCGCGTGGCCAAAATCGGAACTAATTTAATGGAGGTATAAATAAGCCTTTAAAAATTTCTTATTGCTCTTTCCGAGTTCTTATAAATTTAGCGTTCCCTTTACTGAGGAGCTTTTACGTACATGCAGTCCTCGACTTATTTCGTTTCGATTTACGTCATTTCAAGTTACGTCAAACAATGTTTTGACACTATTCCTCAAGCGTACGTCAATTGTTTCGATTTCCGGCATAGGAGAATTCACTTGTCGCGCGGTCAATTTCCGTGGGGCCAGGCGTCCGTGGGGATGTCTCGACTTACGTCGTTTCGATTTACGTCGCGTATTTCGAGAACCTAACGTGCCGTAAGAACGAGGACTGTACCTGTACTTAATAATCCTCATTTCACCACTTATTCACCAGCAGCGCCCTCCTGTCAATGCCATCTAAGTGTCACAAGGTTTTATTCGCCCTGTATATCTGGATTTAGATATCAGCAAATTAATATGTAATCTAACTACTTAGCTGTTGAGAAAAATATCAATCAATATTTCAATTAAGACATGTTCGAGTGTTTAGTGGTAAAATAACACTGAACATTTCAAATGCGTTTTAGAAAACTGTCACGAGTCTCATTATTTTTTTATTTAAACACTGAAGCCTTAACTTTTTGGGCAATATAACACGATATGCACTTTTGAAATAATATGTTTTCAATAATATGCATTTATTTGTAAATCAGTTAATGTTCACAAATCCGCCCACGACCACTGCCTGTTGTGTCATGTTTTGCATTTATAAGTACCTATTATCATACACTACACATTAATATCAAATGATCACAAAAAAATAACCTTATTAATTACCACAAAAAAGCAAGGCACGCGTTCAACACGAGTTTAACAAAAAAAATCACACAAAGTTTGCCTAAACATGGTTTGAAAGCGTGACTTAACTGTATTGTGGTAAGACCATAGCATTTTAACAAAATGTTTACGTGTAAAGATCACCATATTGGTATCTAATCGGTAATATTAACTTGATTGTATAAAATTTTATAACTGAATTGCAGTATCAGTCATACCTATTTTTACAAAAACACCACATTAACTTTTTTGTGATCAATTTCAAAGTGAAACAAGTAGTAGTTTGATAATTAGAGTTTAAACAATTATACAGTTACAGCGCATAATTGGTACAAAATATTAAAAATAGAGGCAATTCGCTTATATTATCGCATTCTAGGTATATATAGTCAAGACAAGAAAATGGAAAAGAATTATTTTTTCTGGATCAAGATAAAATATATTTTGGCATCACTGTTTTTCGACAAAATTGAAGGAATTGATTAAGCTCTATGTTGTGGGTATGTAATCATTGAACTTAAAATATATTTATCAAAGCTGTGAAACTGTACTTAAATTGTAATCACCGAGTATCTCAGTGTTTTAACGACAATGTCACTTTTGTGCAAAACACAATAAAGTTACAAATGAAAATAATACCTTGGTTTTATTTTGTGGGAATAAATTTTACCTTCCTGTATTGTTAAGGAATGACGGGCGCCAGGTGGCGGCATCAGCATACCAACAAGTCAATTTACGTAAAACGAAAAAAATTCTCACAACCGCAAATGATTTTGAACTTTATGATTTCGAATTTTCGATACAAGATTAATTGATTTGATACTTGCTTGTTGATGACTGTGCCATTTTTTAATGAAGGGAAAATATTCATATGGAAATTATTTCATGGAGTGACTTCTTAGTCGTATTTTTTTTGTATTTTTATTTATTAATAATATGTTTTTCTATTTAATTCAATTTACTAATACTAGATTTGTAAGCATCATTGTTACTAACCATTATGGATGAATAATCTGAAATAAACGTTATTATTATTATAACACATACCTCTCTTTTCCGGGAGATAACACAATATTAGAATTTAAAGCAGGAAAGTTAAACCCTGTTCGCAAGGCGAACCACTCAAAAATTGCAAATCAATTTTAAACTGTTCTGTGATGAAGTATTTATTAAATGAATAATCAATTGTTGTGGAAAGGAAATGATAACGAGGATTTTCGTTGTGTTATGTTGCCCTGGTACCTAGCTACTAGCTACATCAGTTTTATTAATTCACCTTGTATTTATCAAAGGAGATTGCTCAAATTGGCCCAAATGTACAAAAAATATTGACATATACGGTAATTCTTGGCGTAATTTATACTTTATTTTACAGTCATTAGATTTTAAGGACACCTTTGTATAATATATTCATTTTGTTTGGAAAACATACGAATCATTTTTAATGGCTATGGGTGTAGTTACATTCAGCCAAAGACTGATCGAAGTTGTTTATATAACATAAAATCCAATCTATTTTGTAAAGATCGATAAAATGAAAACATTTTTTTATTACACTGTGGTATTAATATCCACAACTATATTATCATTTTCACTACATGCAAATGTGCTAAGACAATTATTATTATAGATGGTAGGCGACATCATAAAGTCTATTGCCATAAATTTTTCGCCAAACACCTCCATTATAAGGTGTGATACACTAAAAATCTAAAATATGGTTATAATTTAAACATAACCAAAATAATGAAGCTACTGAAGATATGGCTGTATAACCTAAATCTCTTAGCTTTCTTTGGTTAACTATTATTACTATATAACTTATTTGCGTAGACGGAGAATCTCTCTACGCTTATTTGTTTTTTTGTTATTTTAATACCTATGTAGTGTGTACCTATTTTAATACCTACCTATTTGCAAACATAACCTCAAAATCATTCAGTGTATATGGTTTATAGAAGTTCTTAGGGGTGTCCGTCAATAATATTCGTTTCTACAGTAATTTATATATAATTTCGAATCTAGGAAATAATTTTTCATGATTATTGGTCTTTAGGCCAAACATGTATGTAAGTTGAGCAATCTCCTTTAGCGTACTGACTGAGTTTTTATACATATGTATATTACCTAAATAATATTTTCAAAAAAATCTTTTTGATTATTAAACACTCGCGGAATGCAACGTTAGTAGTGGATTCCAGTCCACTGGCGTGATATTTATGTATTTACAAAGAATTTGAAACTTTGCCTAACAAAAGTGGCCCTTCGGAAAAGTGGTAAGTAATAATATAAAACACTGTTATTAGAAATGTAAAATGTATTTGACAGTTGTTTTTCATTAAACCACATCACATTACTTATATTATTAATAATTCGAAAGTATGTAATACAAAACAAATACATACATTTAATTATCGACTAAATAGTTCTTCAGAGAATTTTGACATCATCAGTTCCATGTTATTCAACTTTTAATAAACTTATAATTTAGATATTAAAAAGTACTTTAAAATTTAACACAGTCGTCATATTTATAATTAATTTCGTACCTATATTCTTTCTAGATATTAAACTTTTAATTTTTTTTTTCAGTAGCTACATAGGTGAAATGGCGGCTTCAGAAAATCTCCACTAGAAATCGCATACAACCATAGAGCAACACAGAAGCGAGTAGCCATAGCGACATAATACTATTTAAATCATTCTGTATTTTCATTTGGGGGGGAGGGGGCGATTATGATTTCAAACGAAAATTTTGTAATGCGGTCTGTAATGGATGCTCTGCGGGTAGGTTCTTTTAATTTCATACAGAAAATTACAGCCATACTTAAAGTATAATGTCTGACCGCTTCTTTTTGAAGGTAAGTAAGTAAGAGTAGGTTAGTTACTATTTAAGATTTTTAGAAGAACTTTTGGTTTTTACCTTCTAATCTAGAAACCACAATTGACATCGAGGCTAATTTGTAAATATCATTTTTTTAAAGATGAGATATAAGATTTTAAAGAAGAGATTTAAGAGACACTGCTGTGTAGATAATGTCACGGAGTGACTGCTGCGAGAATAAGGCCCTAAGTCCATATCAAAATTTATCAAAATCGGTACATCAGTTTAGTCGTGAAAACGTTACAGACACACATTCAGATTCTTAATATTAGTTATAGAACTTTTCAACAGTCTTTACACTTTTTGTTGCGCCAGTTGCTTGTAACTATGGAGTAAATGCTTAAACAAAATACATGTATCAGCAGCAAAATATAACAGTTATGAAAACTTAAAATAAATGTCAAAATTATGTTAACCTTCCATGGAGTGAAATACACGGAGGTACGTATAAAATTATTTGTAGAACCTTAAAAGTATAATAATCACTGTACGTTTTTGTTTGACAATAAATTGGACAGAGATCACAATATCAGTTTGGATACAAAAATGGTTTTCGTCCTCGAAATAATACTTACAACAATTTATCGTCGATAATTTATTAACATGTAAATTTTTCTTATAAAATATATTACAAAAATCACTACTTTTATTATATTAAAAATAAATGCTGTTGACGAGATAGTTACTTAGTTTTAGGACAATTCACCAACTATGTGCAAGTAAAAGAGTCTTCAGTTAACTAACTGAGTTGTTTCATTCAGACTTCTGTCATATTCATTATTTGTGGTAGAACCTTATATCTAGATGTCGAAGCTCGAATGTTGCATTAGGAAACTTGCATTGTAATGGAACTTGCTTTATGATTGAAGTTTGAAAACATTGATTGTAGGATATATCCGAAAGTTGTAAAAGCGAACGTTACATTTCTGTTATAAAAAGTAAATAAAGTTAGTTGCAAGGCAGCGCCATCTCTTCGCATTATAATATACCCAGAATATATATAGAATAGTAACCCAGGTTGGTCAGCGCATTCACCCGGAAAGCGAAGGGTGCGGGTTCGATTCCCGTCTGCTGCCTGGTCCGCGTGGAATTTTTTCTAGTTATATTTTCTTTAGATTTAAACATCAAGCAGTTACATGCTTTAAAAAAAATAACTTTAAAATTGATGTTCTCTTATTTTATTCTTCTAATTCTTATTATTTTTTATTCAAATTCTTAGGAATAGAACAGTATAAAATTAATTTCGCAATATCAACTCGGACATCACACAAAAAGTTGATCCAGCAAAAAATGGACATCAATAAAAAGCGGTCCGACCATTGACAGTTGACTTATAAAAAGATTTTTTTTATACGTCAATGTGTCCGACAAATTAATTGGTCCTGCAAAAATTATGTCACCGTGTGGCACACTAATTATAATTATGGAAATAAAAAAGATAAACTACATATACATTGGTTACTAAGAAGATACGATAACTGAACGCCTAAATTTTTTTCAGTTAGGAAAAAATTTAGATGAGGCACAAAAGTTTCACTGTTGGACCTCACCATACTAAACAAGTCAAAATAAACACATATTTTGTCTTTCAAGCCCAGTGAACACCTTATATAGAACAACAGCTAGTTCGAACAGTTTCCTATATTAAACAATGCAAGTTCCCTTAGAGAGCTTTACTTGCCGAATTTGGCTAGAGTAGCCTTGCACTCTTCAATGGTTTTCTTGAGGCGTTCCACAGTAGCTGAAGTCTGCTTGGCTGCAAGAAGCCTGGTGCAACTGGCAATAGTGGTGTAATAACCACATACATTGTGGAAAACTCGCACCGCGCGGTCCCCGCAAACGAATAGATACTTTCCGCTTGCGTCAAACTTCATATAATTGATAAGACCTGTAAACAAAAAGACAAAGCATTTTATTTAAATGAAGAAATGTTACGGATATTCGCATTAAATGACACATCTTCATCCGCATCAGTTGATGCGAAGTTTTTACGGATGCGGATACATATCAACAAGTTAGTGGAGCCAGAGTGGCACGTGCTTAAAATTATATATAACTAGCTGACCCAGCGAACTTCGTACCGCCCTAAAAGATAGGGGTTGTCCAGCGGACAAAATTGTGAATCTAAACCATTCTCAGATCCCCTTGAACACACACAAAAAATTTCATCAAAATCGGTCCAGTCGTTTAAGAGAAGTTCAGTGACATACACACTCACAGAAGAATTATATATATAAAGATAAAGACTGAAAACTGTTTAAGATTAGTCCTTAAAGTTAATATGAATAAATAAACATTAAAATTTGTATTTGTTTCTTTTATTTTTATTTTGTTATGTGTTTTGTGCAATATGTTTCTTATTATTATTTTTTGCTTTTTTGCTGGTGGGTTGTGATGGGAACAAGTGCAGAGGTATTTTAGTAAGTTTAAATTTATATTATTAATTTGACTATAGGTATATATTTGCTTCATATTTTTACAGTCCTATGCCTGCTACTGGCACTGGTAGTGGTAATAGCAATGATTTTCTGTCTCTCTCTTTCTCCTCTGATGGGTTGAGCAGTAAAGATAGTTTCGGCAGTTTACCTTCCTTAAAAGATAATCTCCAGTCTGTCATGTCAGATATCTCCAAAAATTTCAATGTTGTACATAACGCTAAGAATATTGCAGCTCACTATCCTGACTTCCTTGCTACCTTTTCTGACAAGAACATCCATGCTGTACTTGTTTCAGAATCTTTTCTTCATCCTTGTCTTCCATCTACTTCTTACTCTCTCCCTGGATTTCAGCTTATTCGCAATGATCGTACTCATACATCTCATGGCGGAGTGGCTATTTATCTGCGAAATCATATTTCATTTTTCCCCACCCGATACTGCAGAACACCTTTTTCTTGAAGTTACTTTATCTCACTCTAAAATTCTACTGGGAGTTTACTACAGCCCTTCTCTTAGAGTCAATTTATTTTCTTCTTTCGAGAAACTACTAGAAGATTTGACGCCGTCCTACACTACAGCCATTCTATTATAATGGGTGACTTTAACACATGTCTTTTAAAAGGTGATCTACGATCCAATACCTTAAAGTCACTCGTTAATGCTTGTAACATAACTTTCTTCTTCTCATAATCTTCCGCTTCGCTCATCTGACAATCTCCTGCTTTTCACACCTCCTAACTTTTCCAAGGCGTATAGCCACTCCTTTACCATACGTGCCATCCAACTATGGAATTCTCTGCCGGAAAAGATTAGGCGTGCCCAAACTCTAGCCTGCTTCAAATCCCTAGTTAAGGAGCATTTCTTGTCAGATGAGCATAATTTTCATTAAAGTATTGCTACGGTAGTAGTACTGTTGCATTATATTGCGATATGTGTGTATGTTTGTGTATGCCTATTTGTTTGGTTTACGTTTATTTTAATTATTTTCAATTGACTACGTACAAAACTTTTGTCTTGTTCCCGCACAACCTCCTCCCTCATTATTATTATCGTGCTTTCTACTTTTTCCAGCTCAGGGTTGTCTGGAAGAAATCGCTGATTAGCGATAAGACCGCCCTTTGTGCAACTGTAATTGTTTTGCCTTGTATTTGTATTTTATTCGTGTTATTTATGTTACTGTTGTGCAATAAAGTATTATTATCTTATCTTAAAATTAAATCGATTTACATTTATTTATGAATTTTAAATTGAAATATCATTATAATACCCTAAAATCTGCATCCGCGAATGTGAATCTCTAATAAACGAAAATCCATTCTTCGATTCCCCGGAGATCGCCCACTAAAAACCCTACGGCAGTCTATTCAATATGATTATGATTATGCACCCAAATGAGGGTGCATAATCATATTGAATAGACTGAGCGTTCCCTGTCCAAATGAAAAACTGGGCATATAAGTGTGAGATTGGCTGCACCATCACTCCCCCCGCTTTCTAGAAAGTTGTCAATTTCATGCGAGAGTCGCTCTGTAGATACTCCATTTCTATTAGAATAAGATCATAGGCCCGCCAGATATTATTTATTTTCTGATGGGCAAAATATGGATAATCGAGTAGTGTTAGTATATGCAATAAATGTTATGTATACTCTTACACTTGTGCTGTGGGCCTATTCTCAGGTCTGTCTGAGGACTGATTCAAAATTATTGTAGAAAATAAAGAGAGTGTTTTTTGATTTTGATATTAAAAGTATCTGGCAATAAATACTGCCGATAGCAGATGTCTTGCAGTATTAATTTCATAATATTTACAATATTCTCTACAACATAAATGTAAGAATCAGTCTCCAGACTGTAAGTAAAGAGATTAAAATTTTTACTCACCTGTGCCACCTGATGGCCCACAGGACAAGTTAGCGAGTATGTATACATTTATTGTACATGCTAATACTACTCGATTATTATATTTTGTCCATCACAAAATAAGTGAGGTCTTGCGGCTCTAGGATCTTGGACTATATGGGAGTGACCTCGAAACCGTTTCCGAGTCACCGGGCCACCCACTCCCTATAGGAACACCTCCTGGTATCTGGTCCCTCTCACGAGTGGGCGAAGCTCAGGTTCAGTGCCAATTAGTCCCTAAGAGCTGTAGCTGTCACAATACATTTCGACAATACAGCCTGTACTGCGTTTCATTTCATGAAATACCTATATCGGCTTTGTTTCAAAATACGTGCGCTGAACATAACCTAATTGGCCCGTCAATTACCTACCTGGGATGCCAACATACAGCAACTGTAGGGCTGCATCGGATATGTAACGGGGATAAAAATATTTAATCTACTATTTTTCAGGAAAACATTATTGCTTATAAATATGCAATACGTGCTATATAGAAACTAGACAAGTTGTTTTCTTCTACCTAGACTGACATCAAGTGAATCGGGGACTGCAGGAAAGAAGCAAGTTGGTGCAGATTGAAAGCTCAAATTTATTTTGTCCATAATTCCATCGGTTGATAATAATAAGTTTCAGAAACCGTAATCGTCGTTTGAAATTTAGAATCCGTGCGGGAAAAGTAGCTTATGGCTTAAAGTGAACGCGTTAAAGTGCGTCAGCATGATACAGGCAAATAACCGCGGCCTATTAATGACTGCAATGGCCACACAGGCCTTCCCTATGGAGTTTCGAGGAGCACTTCAAGCTCCTCGCTCCACGGCTATGCGCCGCCGCAGCCGCACTCGGCAGCGTCCTCCCAAACGTGGGGGGACCAGGAGATGCGTACCGTCGACTGTATCACGGGGTGATACGGTCGATGGCACTTTATGGAGCTCCGGTTTGGACTGAGTGCCTCAAACCCCGCACGGTGGCCCTGCTGCGACGACCGCAGAGGACCATCGCGACCCGGGCCGTGCGAGCGTATTGCACGGACATCCACGGCACCGCCTGCGTACTCGCGGGTGCGACGCCGTGGGATCTCGATGCGCAGGTGCTAGCAGACGTGCATCGAGGTCGGGTTGAAACCAGAGAGCGGGGTGAAAGACATGCCACAGCAGAACTGCGGCAGGTTCGTTCCATCGCGCAGGCAGAGGCCTTGCGGCGATTTTTTATTGCACTCGCCCAAGTGAGCGCCGGCCACCGGACGATTGAGGCCATTCGTCCGGTGTTGGAGGAGTGGGTGGGTCGCCGGCGCGGCTGCCTCACGTTCCGCATGGTGCAGATCTTGACCGGGCATGGATGCTTCGGTCACTAACTGCACCGTGTCGCACGTCGGGAGGAAACGCCGAAATGTTATCATTGCGGCGCCCCGTACGACACGGCCGAACACACCTTATTGGAGTGCCCGGTTTGGCGACACCAGCGCCGCGAGCTCATCGCGGCGCTGGGATGCGGAGCCCTTTATAACGATAACGTTCTCGCAGAGAGCGGAAGGATGATCCTCTGGCCGCGCCCTCCCGCCAACGGCGGCGCGCCCTGGCTGCGCCTGTCCCATGACCCTACCCGGGGGGTCCCTCGCTGACCGGCATTGCGTCAGCTGTGCCGGCCACCGATGGCCCTATGACGGCAGCCCCCCCTTGTGGTTCTGTCCTGCAAAGAGGGGGGCGGCGGAGGGAGCTACACGGGCACGCCCAAGTAGCCCTCCGCAGCGGACCGGGGGGCGGTACGGTGGGCACTAGGCCACGTACTCAGCCTTCACGCGCGAGCCATCCTGCGCACGTGCTGCGGGGTCTCCCGGGCTAGGCCTAGGCCGGGAGGCTGCTAGGTGCGGGGACGCGGGGAATCCCTAAAGGCTTAGAGGGTATTCGCAGGGTTTTTGAGGATATTATGCCGTAAAGCGGCCGTAAGAGTTGCGGGGTCCTCAGTGGGCAGCCACTACGGGGGCTCGTAAAGCTTGCGGGAGCCAGGTTGAGGTTCGTTCGGCGGTGTGCCTCTTAAAGGCACCGTCGCCTTTAAACAGAGGTTTAGCCTGCGGCACAAAAACAGAACAAAAAAAAAGGCCTTCCCTATGGATGGAATTGGGACATTGGGCCGTGACACACCACACGGGCCCAGTTAGTATTGGTGGTTGGTGGGCACTAAGAACTGCGAATGCAGCCGGGACCAAAGGCTTTACGTGCTTGGTCACCCACCTAATGACCAATCATTGCGAAAATTGCCTAGCTTTCACAATAACAGGCCTAACGCCTTAAGCACCTGCTCCATCGAGCTCCTCTTTTTCCTATATTAAATATACAAAATTGGTGCAAGATTTACATTGGTATGGTTCGACCGGTCAATCGTAATGTGGGCAACGTTCAGTCCCCCTGGAAACTCAGACGAACCTTTAATGTGATGCATGCCACTCCTTATGGAATATGGAATGTCGTATAATATATACCTACATAAGATATGTATGTAAACATACATATAATATAATTGGGTTTCATTTGTTGTTATATGAGTAAACTAGAT